CATTGTCACCACTGCCACTGCCACTGTCACTGTCACCACTGTCATCACTGTCACTGCCACCACTGTCACTGTCTCCACTGTCACTGTCACCAGTGTCATTGTCCTTACCGGCATTGTCACCACTGTCACTGTCACTGTCACTGTCACTGTCACTGTCACCACTGTCATCACTGTCACTGCCACCACTGTCACTGTCTCCACTGTCACTGTCACCAGTGTCATTGTCCTTACCGGCATTGTCACCACTGCCACAGTCATTGCCACTGTCACTGTCACTGTCACTGTCACCACCATCACTGCCATCATTGTCACTGCTATCACTGTCATCACCATCACTACTGTCATCTCTGCCACCTCCATCACTGCCACAGTCACCACATTCACTGTCACCACTGCCATCACTGCCACTGTCACTGTCAGTCACTGCCACTGCCACTGCCACTGCCACTGCCACTGCCACTGCCACTGTCACCACTGCCATCACTGCCACGGTCACTGCCACAGTCCCCACTGTCACTATCACCACTGCCATCACTGTCACTGTCACTGCCACAGTCCCCACTGTCCCTGTCACTGTCCCAGTCACTGTCACTGTCGCTGTCCCCAGGCTGTCCCCGTGCCCAGCCAAGGATACATGGAGCTGCTGAGCTCTTCCAGCTGTGGGAGCAAAGGCCGAGGCTGAGGGGCTGTCGGGAGCCACGGGCTGTCCCAGCCCTGCCAGGGGACAGGGGTGACACTCACGTGTGCCAGCAGCTGCTCCAGGTTCCTGTCAGACGCCGCCTTCTTCTGCTCCTCGGGGAGCTCCTCCACGCACACATCCAGCCCAAAGTGCAGCCGTGCCAGCTTCTCCTGCATCTCCCGCACGTGCTCCAGCTGCTCGAAGGAGCACTCCTTCCCTGGGGAGAGATCCAGAATGTTCCATCACATCCCCTGCTCATTCCAGCCCTGGATCCATGGGAATGATCCAGCACAGCCCCCAGGCCACTCCTTCCCCATGGATCAATCCCAAACCCCAGCCTACCCCTCCTTCTCCATGGATCCATCATCCATCCATGGATTGATTCCTTCCATCCATCATCCATCATCCATCCATCCATCATCCATCCATCATCCATCCATCCATCCATCCATCCATCCCTCCATCCATCATCCATCATCCATCCATGGATTGATTCCTTCCATCCATCATCCATCATCCATCATCCATCATCCATCATCCATCCATCATCCATCCATCATCCATCCATCCATCCATCCATCCATCCATCATCCATCCATCATCCATCATCCATCCATCATCCATCCATGGATTGATTCCTTCCATCCATCATCCATCATCCATCATCCATCCATCATCCATCCATCATCCATCCCTCCCCCAGCCCATTCTTTCCCTTGGATCCCGCACATTCCCTCATTCCATGGCTTTCCCGCACCCATGGAAAGGATCCCTACATCCCCCATCCCACCCCTTCTC